AAAAAAAAAAAAAAAAAAAAAAAATTAACTTTACATATTTTACTTCCCTAGTTAGACAGACACTACGAGAACAATCTCACAAGATTCTTAGGACCCTCCACAAACTCTAGATTCAAACATTTACATTTATTCCAAACATTTACTGTTTACTGTTACAAGTCTTAATGATAGGCCGTAAGAAACAAAATCTCCGAAAGAAATAAAAACATTTACAGGCCGAACCCAGCGGCTCAAGCCTGTAATCCTAGCACTTTGGGAAGCCGAGGTGGGCAGATTACTTGAATCCAGGAGTCAAGACCAGGCTGGGCAACATAGTGAGACTCTTGTCTCTACAAAAAATACAAAAATTAGCTGGGCATGGTGGCATATACCTATAATCCTGGTTATTTGAGAGGCTGAGATCTGAGGATGCCTTGAGCCTGGGAAGTTGAGGCTTCAGTGAGCTATGATCACACCACTGTACTCCAGCCTGGGTAACAGAGCAAAACCCTGTCTCAAAAAATAATAATAAATGAATTAAAACAAAAAAATTTACAAATTCTGGCACTTAAGTGACATTTTATTTGAATTTTTTTTTTACAATTTCAAACAGGTAAGTTGCAAGAATAATAAAATGAATGACTGTATACTTTTAACTTAGGTTTACCAATTGTTAATATTTTTCAATATTTGATTTCTTCCATATATATTTTGATCTTTTTTGATCGTTGTTGTTAATAGTGCTGAACTATTTCAGATATCACCACCCTTTACAGCCAAATAATTCTACATGTATCTTCCAAAAATAAGAATATACTGTTACATAACTGCAGTATGATTTTCAAATTCAGATAATTTAACATTCACACGAAACTATTATCTCACATACTCTCCATATTATTTTCCATTATTGCGTTCATGTTCCTTGTGGAATTTTAGTGTGTCTGTATGATCCAGGATCTGATTCAGGATCATTTATTGCACTTATCTGTGTCTCTTGAGTCTCCTTTAATCTGGAAAATTTTGTTAACCTTGCTTTTTCTTTCATGACATTGACATTTTTAAATAGTATAGCCTCAAACTGAATTTTTTTTTTTTTTTTTTTGAGACAGAGTTTTGCTTTTGTAGCCCAGGCTGGAGTACAATGGCAAGATCTCGGCTTACCAAAACCTCCGCCTCCTACATTCAAGCAATTCTCTCGCCTCAGCCCCCTGAGTAGCTTGGATTACATGCATGCACCACCACACCTGGCTAATTTTTGGTATTTTTGGTAGAGATGGGGTTTCTCCATGCTGGTCAGGCTGGTCTAGAAATCCCGACCTCAGGTGATCCACCCACCTTGGCCTCCCAAAGTGGGATTACAGGAGTGAGCCACTGTGCCCAGCCTCAAATCGAATTTTATACTGAAAAATTATTGTGGCCTACATGTTTTTGTTATAAATTCGTATTCACAATTTATAGCACGTGTTAGCCAGAAAGTCTGGCTTGGAATACTTGTCCCTGCCACTCACAAACTTGGTGACCTTGGTGACCTTTTCCATGGGGATACCCACTTGTTCCAGCGCCATTTGATAAAAACATAATTCCCCCTTGAATTGTTTTCCTTTGTCGAAAATTGATTGATCATATTAAATATAGTTGTCTTTCAGCTGAACTTTCTATTCTGTTCCAATGACTTATTTGTTTATCCTTATGCCACTTCCATAGTCTTAATTATTGTAACTTTGTAGTAAGGCATTAAATCAGGTAATATAAGTCTTATAGCTTTGTTCTTTTTTTTTTTTTGCAATGAAGTGTTGCTCTGTCACCCAGGCTGGAGTGCAGTGGCACCATCTCGGCTCACTGCAACCTCTGCCTCCTGGGTTCAAGCAAGTCTCTTGCCTCAGCCTCCCAAGTAGCTGGGAGTATAGGCGCCCACCACCAAGTGCGGCTAATATTTTGTATTTTTAGTAGAGACAAGGTTTCACCGTGTTAGCCAGGATGGTCTCGATTTCCTGACCTTGTGATCTGCCTGCCTCGGCCTACCAAAGTGCTGGGATTACAGGGGTGAGCCACCGCAGCCGGCCTCTTAACCTTTGAAAATTATTTTTGCTATTCTAGATCCTTTGATTTTCCACATACTTTTTTTTCCCCACTCTCGTCACCCAGACTGGAGTGCAATGACATGATCTCAGCTCACTGCAACCTATGCCTCCCGGATTCAAGAGATTCTCCTGTCTCAGGCTCCCAAGTACCTGGGATTACAGGCCCCCACCACCACATTCAGCTAATTTTCGTATTTTTGGTAGAGATGGGGTTTCATCATGTTGGCCAGGCTGGTCTTGAACTCTTGACCTCAGGTTATCCACCCACCTCGGCTTCCCAAAGTGTTGGGATTACAGGCATGAGCCACGGTGCCCAGCTCCACATACATTCTAAAATTAGCTTGTTGACCAAGTGACCAAATTAAAACATCTCCATAATAAATCATGTTGACAGCATGTGCCCCCTGGTGTGATGTGATGAAAAGGGCTTGTTGCCACTGTGGCATTCTTCCACAAAACCCATAATCATAGTCCAAGCATGGGAAAATCATCAGGTAAACCCAAACTGAGGGACATTCTACACAATGCCTGACCAGTACTCCTCCAAACTGTCACGCTCATTAAAAAAAAAAAAAAGGAAAGACTGAGAAATTGTCATAGACTCAAGTAAACGAAGAAGACATGCCAGTTCAGTGCAGTGTAGTATCTTGGACTGGATCCTAGAACAGAAAAAGGGCACTAGGGAAAAACTAGTGAAATCCAAATAAAACAGTAAGGTACCAACAGTGTTGATTTCTTACTTTTGACAAATGTATCATGATAATGTAAAATATTAACATTATGGGAAATTGAGAGAGTATACAGAAACTTACTGTATGATTTTTGCAACTTTTCTATAAATCTAAAATTATTATAAAAATAAAGGTTATTAAAGATATGAAAATCTTACCATGTATATCATAGATGACTAAAAAAAAAATAAAATAAAATAAAGGTTAT